TATATGTGTAACCTAAAAAACAAAACAAATGAACAAATAAAACAGAATAAACTCATAGATACAGAGAACAAATCTATGATTGCCAGAGTGGAGGAGGATTAAGGGGGGCTGGGTAAAAAAGGTGAAGGAATTAAGAAATTCAAATTGGCAGTTACAAAATAGTCACAAGAATGTATAGGGAATATAATCAATAATAGTGTAATAACTTTGTAGGGTGCCAGGTGGGTACTAGACTTACCAGGGGGATCACTTTGTAAGTAATATAAGTGTCTAACTACTATACTGTACATCTGAAACTAAGACAATATTGAATAGCGACAGTAATTAAAAAATTTTAAAATTTTAAAAAATGAATTGAGATAGACTTTCTATGATTCACAAAATTAACTTAAAATGTATCTCAGACCTAAATGTAAAACACAAAACTATATATAATATGAGCATACTTATTCATATTATATATAGATATAACTTTTTTTAAAACAAAAGACACTGGCTAGAGCCACTGAAGAAACCTTTCTTGAACTTTTACTATAGAACTTAAAATGAAAAGAAAAAAAATGCTATAACATTGGAAACAAAGTTGCTTATTTTAGAATGAGCTTTTTACTGCTTATAAGAACAGTAAAACTGTAGTGAAAAAAAAGATTTGGGGGTCTATCTATGTTTGTCTTATAAAACCTCAATAATTTCTGGTCATCTGAAAAAATTAGGAAAATATTTTGCTTCTCACATATTTTCTCAGCAACCAGGACATTTATTTTTCTATGAACTGAAAACACTGAAGCTGTGTCTCTCTATTAGATGGGTGTTGATTTTGAAAGAGAAAAGAGAAATTGTGACCCTAGAATTTTATACCCATCCAAGATCTCTCCCCTAAAAGTGGATAAATAAAGAGATGCTCAGACATGCCAGAATCAGTACATTTCTTCTGAACCACCCTGGAAAAAAATTACATGAAGACATACAATTGCCAACTGACTCAAAATGAACAATTTCAGAATCCATAGGTCAGACTATAAAAGGCTTAATTAGAGCTGCCTTTCCTCAGTTTGTTCGATAAAGTCAGTTTTTTAATTAAAAGATAGCTCGTCTGGTAGATTAGGCAGTCTGGGGTTATGTTTGGTCCACTCTATTTCTCACACCCATTCCACTTCAGCTTCTACCCTCATCCTCATGTGTGAAGAAGTGTTTCTCCTGCAACAGTTTCAACCCTACAGTCAAATGGGAATGTATTTGCCTGTTGGAGTACCATTAACAATTTCAGTTAGTGTTATTCTGTTTGCACAACTGGAATATTTATGCCAAGAATATTACAAAATGCTCTCCTTCGTTTGGTAAAATCAAAGCTGCCTAGAGCCATATACAGGCCATTGTCATTGCTAAGGAATTTAAATGAAGGATTTCATCATTTTTTACCATTTATGTTGAGTGATGTGAGTCATTAAGCATTTATAAATGAAAAAGACTTAGCTATCCACGTGCAGGTGTTCTCTGTTCCTAATTCTCTTTTCTATTCTAGTTCACCTTCCAACTAAAAAGGTTTAAAAGTTTCTGTGGCATTAAATTAAACAGGCATGAAATTAGCATATATGGTCTGATTTAAAATTCTGAGATTCCGAATAGATAAAATTTCATAAATTTCTCATGACAATCATGATGTACAAAAGAATATACAGGTATTTAAAAATTAAGAGAAAGTACAGTGACGTGTTAGTAGTGTTTTTTTGTTTCTTACGGCATAACTATAAATGATTTATTTTCTTTCTACTTTTTTCCATATTCTGAATTTTCTATAATAAAAATATAAAATTCTATTGAAACATAAAAAACTTTCATTGAAATGTTTTATAGAAACATTTTAAAAACATTTTAATTAAAATGTTTTGTAGAAACATAATTCTTGTACAGCTTCTTTCTTTATGCCTTATAGAATTAATTATGCAGGGGTCATCTCCTCTATTAGATTATATCCTTCCTTCCTTTGTTCCTTCATTTCATCTTTCCTTCTCTTCTATTTTTAAATAACTAATTTGGTCACTTTTTCTCTAAATTTCCCTTTTAAATATTATCTCCAAATTTACACTCTCAGTTTGGGTATTCTGAAGAATTTAAGATTCAAACTCTTGATAAATGAATGTATAGCTGAAAGAATAATATCAGCTGGAGGCAGCAAGGATCGTGTATTATCTGATTAGTCATGGAGAAGCATGAGAAATAGGGTGACAAATGTGAAAAGTTATCAGGTAAAATATTACTTGGACTTTAAGTTTACTTCCAGGTCTCTGATTCCCAGAAGTTAGATCTATGACAGTAGTCATATAACAAATGATTGTTCTGTAGAAGTGGTTTTCTTTTCTGTATTGAAAAGCCCTTTTTTTCTGATGTTCACAGGTACGCTCTACATCTAGTGTACGTATTCTCTCTCTTCTATTTTTCTTTCTTTTCCCCTTCTCTCTCTTCCTCCCCAGTACCTCCCTCCCTTCCTATCTGCCCCTCCCCTCTCTTCTTTCTTCTTTCAGTCGCTCTTTTTAATTAACCCGTTCCTTCTCATTAATGCATTTACAATTTTAATCATTTTCTGAGAAAATGAAACTTCTTTAAAATTCAGTTATTAGGGTATTTGGTAAATATGACATGTAAAATCTGGGAATTTAGAGACATATGCATGATTTGTAAATTTTTTAGCTTTTCATTCACCTGTATGAATGTGCTGTGAGCCTTTCATTCATAATTAATATATTAATTAATTCTCTAAGCACTTTTTGGGTACCTGCCATATGCGAGTCACCATGCTAAGTATCAGGAGTACAGAAATAAATGAGACACAGTCCCTACTGTCAAGAACATAGAGTGGTATAAGGGAGGCATATAAATAAACCAATATACAGTAATTCAGTGTGAAAAATCAGCAACAGAGGCAGGTCCATGATACCATCAAGAAATAAATAATGACCTCTTCCTGGGGCTTGAGGACAAACTCTCAGAGAAGTCTCTGAAGCTGCTTGAAAAGATGACAAAGTTTTGCATTTGTCAGACTTCTGTATTTATTTCAGGAACAACATGGCCCGTTTTGCCAATTACATTGAAGCAGTTGAAAAATAAACAAAATATCTGTCATGCTTCCCTTTAAATTAAAAAAAAATTTTTTTAAGTTATGACACTAGAGAAATTTTATTAGGAAAAAAAAAAAAAGCCTTAATGTAGAAGGAATTGACTATTGTGGCTGCCACAGCTCTTCTGCTTTTAATCTCTTACTTCCTTTTCTGTCTGACTTTATTATTTCTTCCTGGAATTCATTTTGGTACAGGCCCTGCTACCCTCCACTGCTCTTAGCTATCCTGACATCAGTGTGAACAAATATTTTTTCTTTATTTCAATCAAGAAAGGACACAGACTTTTTCCCCAAAAGAAATGTAGAACACTAGTTCTGAATTGCCTTTAGACAGAATCTAGTCTAAAAATGGATGCTTAAATTTGATGCGTAGCCCCTGCCAAGTGATCTCAGGCATCTGGGCACCTCCTGCTACAGGGATGTTATTATCATATGAAATCCTATTCCATTATTTACACATATTGGATGAAATCTCTCTAGTGTTTATTAAGAAACATTCAAAAATAAAGCAAAAAAAGAAAATGCAAAAAGGACACAAGTGGGAGGGAGCAAAACTTATTAAATGTCCACTAAGTGCACATTCTTATTCATCATTTTACTTACTACACATTCCTAGGATGTTTTTCTTTTTAGTAAACAAACAAGCAAACAAGCAAAGAAAAAAGGTGTGGTGATGAACAAAAGTGTTGTACATTTATTCAATGTTTAATAAGTATAAATTTTGCTGCTCCCTCCGATTTGCATTCTTTTTATATTTCCGTTTTTGTTTTTGTTTTTTTTTTTGTTTTTTGTTTTTGCAAGAGTAAGGGAAGTGAGATTGATGGGAGAGATAGGTGTGTGGCAGGTGGTGAGAGGGCTGTAAATAAAGTTTAACAAAGTTTCTTCTGAGAATCTTTAGGGTCTTTTCTACAGGCATTTATACACGATTGATACGAACAGTACTCTATTTGACAGAGAAAAGGAAGGAAAGGGAAGAAACAGAAAAAACGGAAAAAAGAGGAGGGAAGAAGACAGAAAAAAGATGAGCAGCACGAAGATAGAATTTAGAATTTTTTGTTTTTTTTAACTTCAAAGTATCTACTAATTTGGATTTAGGGAGAAGAAAAAGAGATTAAAAGAGAACTTTTTTTTATAACTGTAGTAGTAAAGACAAAGGAGTATTTCGGTCCAGTGAGCAATATAATTTATTTCAACTTTACTAGTATTTATGGAGCAGATATTACAAATTTGTTGCCCATTAATATACCGGGTACAGAATTAAGACCAACCAAAAGAGAATAGATACACTTTCTTCTTCACAATCTTTTTTTCTATCCTGCCTATGTGTTTTTACTCACCAAGGACTAACAAACCTAGTCAGAAAGCAGTAGTAGGTATTTCAAATCAAAGACACAAAAAATGAACACTATCGTCCAATTTTATTCTAGATGTTATTTCTTTTGTTTTTAGAGAATCTAATAGATTATG